GTAAAAATGAGCTGGACGGGCATCAGAAACTGGAATGTAACAGCTGCACTGTAAAGCTCTAGAAGAAGACAAGGGAGGAGTGAACTCTCTATGACCTAGGGCTGGCAAGGAGGGCAGGGGTGACAGCAAGGAGTCATTGAGTCCAGGTGCCTCTTTTGTGCCGTAGACTGAGGTCGGTGTTGGGGGAATATGGTGAAGAAGACCGACGAAGTGCCTGCCTTCCTGGGGTAATGTTCACGTCGGGGGAGGCAGACAGCAGGCAGGAGACCCGATGCACAACAGTTACTGCAGAGAGCACTATGGCTGAGGTGATGCCGGGCGCTGTCTCGCTGCTGTCCAGGAGCCGGAGGGAGAGCGCCTGAGGCCGGCAGGGGAGCCTGCGCGGGCCCTCGGGTGTTGGGCGCGGTGGGTTGGAGACCCGCGAGGCGAGCAGGCCTGCCAGCCGGGCGAGCAGGGCCACCATGGTGTGCGGTGATGGCGGGACGGCTGGGCCCCACTGCGGCGTGAGGTGTGTGTGGTGGAAATCACCCAGGGAATTTCAAGCAGGGGGCGTGTTTTGTTAAAATAATTCTGGCTTCTGTGTGGACGGGATTGTTCAGGGTAAGCGTGGGGGCAGGGGCACCAGCAGGACACTGGGAAATCGGACAAGAGAGGGCGGTAGCTTAAGCTAGGAGGGGACCAGTCCGGGGTGGGAGGTGGGGCCGGAGAGGCTGGATTGCAGTCTGCTGTGGGGCGAGAAGGAAAGGGAGGGTTCCGGTTAACGGCTGGGTGGGGTTTGTGACCTGTGAGACGGGGAAGGCCCTGGAGAAACAGCTTGCCGGTCAGGAGTGCTTGTCTGGGCAAGTTAGGTTTCGCGTTGTTGGATGTTCATATGGCAAGGTCACGTTGGCAGTCAGACACATCCGGCATTCGGTGTAAAAGCCTCAGGTCTTCCTACTCCGCATAATGAAATTGTCTGCGACACAGATGCAAGTGAGAAAGAGAAGACGGCGTAGGCTTAGGATCTAGCGGAACTGCTTTTTCCCTATGACTCATCACTATGATGGTGCACAAGGGGGCCCCCCCAAAATGGGATTATCCCTAGAGGGTGAACCCCTTGTGGTACAGGTTTCCCCTGCTAGGCGACTATTCTAGAGGTCCACCTGTATCAGTGCCCCGTTGGTGGTGGTGTGAGAGGCTGTGTCCGCCTCAGTGAATTTTTTTTGAAGACTCTATCAGTGTGTTTGCCCATTTCAAGAAGGGTGATTGACCAGCGCGCCAGCCACACTGCGATGAGCGTTCAGCCGTTTTTGACCGAAAACGGCATGCTTTCCGTGCCCTCCCTTCCCTGTTCCGCGGTCTCACCCTGAGCAAGCTTTTTGTTTCCCCGCATGAACAAAGTCCTCCAACGGAAACGCTTTGCCGATGTGAAAGAGGGGAAACAAAAAACCAGCAGAGGCCCTAAAAGGCATCAGAATCAGGGAGTGCACACGCTGTTTTGAGCACGGGGAAGCCTGTCTTGATGGCGAATTGCATCAAACGGAGAGGACTTAGCGACTGCAGTTTCAACACGTAAGAATAAACACACAATTTTTAATACATAAATTCCAGGTGTTTTGGGGGGGGTCCCCCTTCTTATATTATTAGTCTTCCTATATTGAGTCATACTTGCATTTATCAAAGAAGCCCTACTTGACTCAAAGTCAAATATCTTAAATCACTATTAGTTTTAAAGCACGCCAAACTTTTATCAAGGGGTCATTTCAGTTGCCTGTTGCAGCACGACTAACCGCCCCGAACCGAGTGGCTTAACCACCGTTCAGTGTCACTCCTGTCGCTTGACTGGATTCAGGTGGACTCGCTTTGCTCAGGGTCTGGTCTGGCGGTTCTTAAATGTTGGCTGGGACGGCTGTCATTTGAGTCTGACTGCTTGACACCCACAACAGTGGTCTTGTCTGGGGAGCTGTCGCCGCTGGCTGGGAGAACTTCTGGGGTCCGTCCCGGGAGCACTTGCGCGTCGCCCCTCTGTGGGGGGCCGGGCTGCTCACCCACGAGAGCAGGGCTCTGAGCGCGCGCACTGAGGACAGGTGGTCCAGGAAGCCCAGCGGGGCCGCAGGCTGCCTTCCGACCCACCTGGAGTTTCAGGAAGCCGTTTCCCTTGCGTTCTATGGGCGGACCAGCCCAGATACAAGCGGGGAGGGCTCTGGTCCCAGCCTTGCCGTGCAGAGCTGCGTGCACACAGGGCGGGCTGCAGCGGAGGCAGCAGCCCCGGGACACGGCCTGCCCTCCGCCCCCCGCAGTTGGCGCTCCTCCTACCTAAAAGTGCACTCACTCTTCTCCCAGGATCCGCAGTCTTACCTCCGTGTGGCATCCAGCTCGAGACCTGCCCCTTGCGAGCTACGGCAGGTCAGCTGGGCGGGAGGCTCGGGCGTGACTGCTCCATGTGAGGGCCAGCGAACTGAAGAGGCAGGTTCGGGTCCCAGCCGCACCCTCTTCCCCGTCGGGAGCAGTGGTGAGGAAACTGTGGTCGCCACTCCTGCCGGGACGGGAGGGAAAGCAGGTCACTCGGCAGCCCCGGGGGCAGACAGACACCGGCTTCCGTCGCCTGGCCCAGGCCCAGGCCCAGGCCCAGAACCGCCCCTGCGAGCAGCCCTCTGGTTCTTGGCTCCGCTCCCCGAGTTGCCGTAGCTGCCACGCACCAGGACGTCGCGGGAGCCTGACGGTTGCTCTTTATTTTGAACGCGCTCCCTTTCAGCCCAGTTCCATGTAATTCCCTTTAAAACCACGTGGGCTTCCTGTGTATCTGATCGTAAATGCTGTGCTTCGGACGGTGGCCGCGCCCCCAATCTCCCTGGCAGCCCCCCTGTACCGCGGTGTGAGGCGCTGTGGCTCGAGGCTCCCGAGGGTCTCGCACACCCCTTGTCAGCAGAGAGGGTCAAGGGGCAGGCCCTGAAGACTCTCGGTTCTTTTTTTAATCTGAGAGGGTCGATCAAGGGGTGCCCTTCAGTCTCTGAGGTGCACCCTCCAGGAGTCCCCTTGGCTTCGTATTTGCCTCAGTTCCTTTAAGAATATTTTGCTGGCTGGAAAGCTGTCCTGAACCCTTTCTAGTTTTTCTCAATTCAGCTCAAAACTTGAATACTTTCCTTTTTCAGTTCTCCTCTCTCTATGCATACGTTGTCATAACGCACGTAAAAGAAACCAGTTGCACTTTATCAGGAACGTTCTCCGTCTTCCCTGCCAGGGCAAGAGCAGTGCTGTCCGGGCCGGGCGCTGTGTGACGTGGGCCGCCGTCCCTCCGGCCTCCAGTTCCGGCTGCCTCGTTGCCCTGCCCGTCCGCCCCAGCGGACCCCACAGGCCTGTCCTGAAGCCAGAGCGGCGGCTCCAGCCTTTGTTTTGATGGCACCCAGTTTCACTTACAGTTTGTGTTCTGACTGTGACACTGGACCCAAACGTAGTTCCAGATGGGTGCATTCCTCCCCTTACAGTTTTGTGGGTCTGGAATCCCAGGAAGGTTCACTGGAGAGACATGTCTCTTTCATACGGCGTCAGCTTCTTCACCCAGGGGTCTCAGGGCTTGGCGCTGCTCAGTGCCTCTCCCCCAACCCCCTCCATCCCTCCGCCTTTGGCTCATCCTCCGGAACCTCTGCGTGGGGGGGCCTGGGGACAGTCACACCCTCCTGACGGCCAGCTGCCAGGAGGCAGGAAGCAGAAGCTGCCGGCGGATCGTGGGCTGCGCCCGGTTACCCTGCCACAGCCTGCCCGTCAGCCGGGTTCGGTGGAGGCAGGAAAGCAGGCGTCCCGTAGGTGAGGAGCTGGTCAGGTGGCAGGAGAGCGCACCGACTGGGAGACGCTGCCACCGCGTCTGGGGAAGGTGCAGCCTGCCTTGTGATTTTTAGAAATTATTTTAAGTTTGGTTTGTCAACACTGTGTAAGTGTGCGTATGTGCTGTTTCCTCAGATACAGCTATCAGGAATATAGGAACTCTGTAAAACATCTGAATTAGGAAGCTTTCCTCCCTTTTCCTTTGCTCAGGAATGTTCAAATAGATCAGAATCACCTATTGCCTAAAGTTTGAAAGAACTCTCTCACAAAACCACCTGAATTGCCTACAGGGGAAGTTTAAGATTTTAACGTAACCCAATGTATTGTTTTTCCCCTGTTCATTTCTCCGTGTGTGTGTGTGTGTGTGTGTGTGTGTGTATTTAGAGAGTTACTTCTGCCCCTGGAGCATACTTAAATGTGTACCCACAGTTTCTATGTGTTTTGGTTCTGTACTATATATGCAATTCTTCGATCTCTCTAGATTGTGTGGGTTAAGGGAGAGCACCCATCCCCCCCCTCGACTGTTAACTAATTAGATGACCCTCCATCCATTCTCATTAATTCGCATGGCAGCCTTCACTTCACACAATGTTATATATTCTAGAATCTGTTTCTGGATTTGTGGTCTCTTCTATTGATATGTAAATTATTTCCCCCATACAATGTTTTTAATTATGGTAACTCTCTTCTAAGCATTTTAAGACTTGAAAAATGACTAAATTTTCATGCCTAAAAATGTGAGTAAATGCACACCCAATACACACGAAGGATGTATGCTCATAGACTACTGAAGACAAGTTTAAAAAAACCTTAGTAAGAATTTGTTTAGTGTATATTTTGTGTTAAATTTTGTTTTCTAGAAAGAAGGAAAAATAAATAGGATAACCATGCTCACAGCTTGATGCTTGCGAGCGTGACTCTCAGGTACAGAGGCTGGCGTATGGGGGCCTCTCACAGGGAAAAGCGAACGCAGGCAGTAATTGAGTGCATGTGCCGTGAGAGACGGTACAAAACTCGAGTAAAGCCAAAGCTGAAACTGGCAAAGAGTTCTTACAATTCGTTGAAGAAAGCTCTGGTGGAGTAGATCTAGTAATACTGATGTTTTGAACCGTATCAAACGTTAATAAATTACTTATAAATGTGTTCTTTAACAAAATGAATCTTTATTTTTACTAATCTAGCTTATTTTTGTTTTCCAGATATTGTTTTGTGTTTGCTTTGGGATACCTCATAGTGTGCCAAATTACTAGAGTCTATATCTTTGATTATGGACAATATTCCGCTGATTTTTCAGGGTAAGATGAAACCTTTGATTTAGTAGCCTGTTTTTTTTTTCTGTTCTAACATGTTGGTTAAAGGACAAAATATAGTTGCATTTAGTATTTCAAATGAGAAGCTAGTACTAAACATTTTAGTTGAAAAGTCCTTTATGAATTTAGAAATTTTCTTTTTGTAAAGTGGTCTTGTAAAGTGTTATATGTCATAAAAATAACCTATCCTTTTAAAGTGACTTACAGTATTCCAAACATACAGCCGTTGAATTTGTCGTGTGGCACCCCCTACTGAAAGCACTCCCTGGGTGTGACAGACGTCGGCCGTCCCTCCCGGCCGCTGCCTGCCGGTCCGCCCCGAGCCTGCGTCCTTGCTGCCCGCGTCTGCTTGCTTTGCTCTGTGAGTCCCTGTGCGCGGCCATTCGGCAGCTTCTGTCTGAGACCTGGTCACCCGTCCTGGCCTCTTAGCGCCCACGAGGCTTTCTCCGGGCCGGAGGCCCTCGGGCCAGCGGCGTCCGCCCGACGCCCTAGACCAGACCTGGGAACCTGTGTTTGCTGCTTTGTATTCCGCCGTCACGGAGCGTTCTACGTTCTTACATCCAGCAGTCAGCTGAGAGGTGGAAATAACGCTGGCTTTTGTCCTTTCGGAGGGGATTCAGCCCCTCTGAGCTCTCTCTGCCTGTGACAAAGCTGGCCGCGTGCCTGCTGGGGGTGAACGCGGTCCGAGGCCTTACGTACTGGCCCGCTCCCTATCTTTCTGAGGGACACCGCTAACAACTTGGCAGCAGGTGGGGAAGTGAAGATAAGCCTCCGCATTTTCTGTGTCAAGCCCAACGGACGCTCTCTCTGTTGAACAAGATACAGCAGCCCTGCTGTTCAGTCAGTCCTGCGTGGTCTGGGCAGGACAAATAATGACCAGAAAGTCCAATTTAAGGATCGCTAAAGTGGAAAAAATGAAACAAAACAAATCATTGCATCTATGGAAAGAAAAAATTCTTCAGCAGTAGAAATGGACGAAAGGTGTGTGAGCTCAGAGAAAGATCACGGCAGTGAAACGAGAATTTTACAACATGAAATGCCCTTTTCTCCTTAAGGAAAGTAAAGTGAATTTTACTTTTGTTAAGCAGTTTTTAAACATAAGCTTGGATGAAAGGAGATTGCATTCAAAAGAACAAAACCAAGCCAAAGCAAAACCGATTAAATACACTAAAAAAATCTACATCGTCAGATCAGCAGTGCATCGACTAGAATTGAGCAATCCCCCTGGAATCCGGGAACGGAGAGCAGATGCTGGTGGCCCAGTGTAAAACTAGGAGGCGTTCTTAGAACGGGGCCGAGGAGCAGGGTCAGCAGGGGTATCGGGCCGCCGCTGAAACCTTAGCTTGAAGGACTGGCCCCATTCGCAGGTTGTCTTCTCACTAGTGAAAGTAGGGGTGAGCTGTGTCTGTGAAAGAATCAAATCACCCAGGAAATTTAACTTCCTGAGAACAGTGACCGTACTGGTCCTGTTCGCCTCAGTATTCATAGCGCCTGGCCCAGAGAAGCATTGAATGAATACTTGTCGACCACATGGATACTTCAGTAGAGAAGAAAGTAGAAAATATAGTGAGAAAAATGGGGAAGTATAACAAACACAATATAGAAAAACCTGAGCAATGTGGGCAAAGCTGTGACTATTGAAGGGATCAAGTCACAGCTTTGAACACTTGCCTTACGATAACTAAAAACTAAGTGAAGCATTTACTATAAAATGAAACAAAAAGGGTATTCTCGACCGATGCAGCTCATGCATGCTGATGACAGAAATGTTAGCAGCAGCAGCAGCTAATTGAACAATATCATTGAATCACGAACCTTCCCGCGGACGCCGGGGTCCTAGGCCCATGGGTGAGCACCCAACGCGGAGCGGCCGAGGGTCCCGCTGACGCCTGCCTTCAGCCCTTCCGCTCTACGCTGCTCCAGTTCCTGTTTCAGGAGTCCATGTAATATTTCATTAAAAAATATGGTGCTGCTTGTATTTTTAAACCATCGGATTTAAAAGTGATTTAACCCAGCTAAGTGAAGTGTTTAACAGCGATTGGGGTGCTTGCTGATGTGCAGGAGACAGTGTCACTGGCCCTCGCGGCTGCGCCTTGGGCTTCAGCTGGGCTGTCGGCACTTTTGTTTCCCTTTTCAGCTGTTCCAAACTCCCGTCTGTCCCTGCCTCGCGCGGGAGAAGCTCACTGCTATGAAAAACGACATGGCTTCTCTGTCTTCTCCTGACGAGGGTCTGTCCCTCACTCACACTGCAGTCCACGGAGCCAGGCAGTGCCGCACAGTCACCGAGGCGCCAGGGCCCTCCCTTGCCGCTGGGGCTGTGCCTGCTTCGTGCCTGCGGGTCCCCTGGCCAGCCGATGGGGTGCCGGGCAGAGCGCGTGCCCCCCCGCCGCTCTGCTCACACTCCGGGGGAGGCCTGGTTGCAGGCCCCCACTGGTAGAGGGCAGTGTCCATGAGGAGCAAAATGCCTGTTTAAAAAAAAACCACACCCAGCTTTAGTGCCGTGGATTTCAGCATTTTGCTGAAATTTAAAATTTTACTTAATATTTAAAATTACATTGAAATATTTCAGTATGTGGGAGAAAAACAGCATAGCATTTTTAAAGCTGGGCAACTTGATCTAAAACTCACCTAATGTGTCATTTTTATCCATTAGGAAAAAACATTTGACCGTTATCAGTGAACTGATGAATATCAGAGGCGAGGTAGCTGGCGGGGCCATCTGGCTAGAACTGAGACGGAGGACACCCTCCCCTGTCTTTTTTTGTCTTTAACGGGCACAGGAGAGAAAAGAAGCCGCATGGAGGTGGTGGCCCCCCTTCAGGACACCTCCAGGCGTTCAGCGACGGGGCGTGTTCCCACAGAAAAGACCCAGGCTTGACCCTAATTAGGGCGAACGCGGCCGCCGTCCAGGGGGCTGGCTGCCAAAGGGGGTAGTTGGATGAAATGGCCCTCCTTTGTGCTGAGGGGTCCTGTCCCCTGGAAACTGGACGCCCGGGAGGGGAAGCCAGGCTCTGGCTGAGGGATCCCCGGGAGTGAGCTCTTCCATCCGGGCAGCCTCACCTGCGCCAGGCGTGGGGAACGGAGTGTGTGTGCGCACGCGCGTGTGCGTGTGGCGGGGAGGGGCCCGGGTTAGATTCAAGATACATTTTAGATGTGGGGTAGATGAAGGGGACCCTGTCGGTAGAGGTTTTTGTCTTTGCAGAAAGGTTGAAAAGCTACCGAGGTGGTTGGCTTTCAGAAGATGGATACAAGAGAAGTGTACAGCACTTCAATACCTGTCCTTGAGCAGCAAGGAGCAGTTAGAAAATACGATAGAAACAATGCTAGCTTCAAAAGTGATAAAAACTACGAAATACCTAGAAATACACATAAAAAGAAACGTGTGGGACCTCTGCATAAGGAGCTGCAGGACTAGACCGGGACACCTGAAAGGCCGACCGGGGGAGCGTCCAGTTGCCGCGCTGTGAGGAGGCACTTCCTCTCAGGTTACTTAGGTGTGAGGCAGTTCACGTTGGGGTCCGGGTAGGAGGGGCCTCGGGTGGAGTGACGTGCTGGGGAGCAGCACCTCCAGTGTGCAACCTGCTGTCTGTGTCTGTAAAGCCAGCGGCACGGGAACATGGCGGGACGGACGCGAGTGGGCCGGCCACGGGGGCTGGGTGACAGGAAGGACAGAGCAGGAAGGGCAGCGGGGTGATGGGTCCAGGGGGAATGCCCTTTGGGCTTTGGGACACAAAACACAAAGGCAGCGGCTTGCCTGCTGTGGAGATGGAGGCAAGAACAGAGTTTCTGGCGGGGAGATCATGAGCTCTGATTGGAATATGTTGATTTTTGTGGTGCCAAAGGGGTGGCTTAAGGGACCCACCAAAAAGGTACACGCGATGTGATTTTCCATTCACATCAAGAGTGTATTTCAGCTAACCAGAGAGCACCAGATGCGCGGTGAACACTTTATTCCCGGTTGCTGCTGTGTGTGCGTTCAGCCACAGCGCCCTGAGCGTGCTCCACGCCACGTGCTGTCATAGGTGACAGTGCTGTCCAGCATAAAAGGGGGCAGGCCGTCTGTCCCCGGGTGTGGTCACCACGCTCTCTCCCGACAAGGCTGAGAGCTGGAGTCCAGATGGCCCCTTGCGGCCCCCGTCCCCGCTCCCGCTGTGCCGGTCACTGCATTGTAAGGGGAGTCGGCGTAAATTATTCAGCCGCGAAACCCTGGCTTTCCGTGTATCCTGTTTCAGCCTATAGGAGTCTTCCAGCCCCTTGGCCTACCTGTGGTCAGAGGCCATTCCGGTCAGCTGCCACCACGGTGGTTCAGGAGTCAACAGGCGTGGATCTCATGCACGGTCTGACCAGCCTGTTCCCCGCCCACCCGAGCCTGTTCCCCTGACGTCATGTCCCTTCACGAAGCAGTGTGGTATGATGGTTTTTATCAGGAATATGCAGTGTTTCCTTTCTCAAGGCTCTAAGAAGGGGGCAGCCAACCTTCAAAGCCCTGCCCGCGTGCGCCCTGCCCCCGCCTTTCTGCCCACCTTGCCCCTTCCCTGCTCGGGCAGCCAACGCTCGGCGGACGTGCCGGCGTGCCCTCCCCTGTGCTTTCGCCCTTCGGCTGCCCTCGTCACCCTGACGGGACACCTGGCAGCCAGGCCTGCCCTCCGGCCGGGCCGCAACCCCTGTGGGAGGCGGCCTGCCCTCCGCTTCCTCGATTTGAAGTCCCCTCTCGTCTCTCTACACGTTTCTTCAAATGGCTCATTTGGCTGTTCACGCTTTCACTTACTCAGATCCCTGCTTATCTCCTGTTTAGAGAGACAGCTGCTTCAGAGACAGTGCTTCACAGTCATTGTTGCGGCCGCTCGGTGCCCTGGCTTGACCGCAGCGCCAGCATTTGCTAAATGGAAGTTTTGTTAAACATCTGCTGTGCCTCCGATGCTGTCCAAGCATCTGTCATGTTGCCCTTTTATTAATCCACGCAGCGGCATTCTTATCCCCATTGCGTAGGTAATTTGGGGAGGGGGAGGGGAACCGCTTCCCAGTCTGCCGCAGTGGATGCGTAGCGGGGCCAGGACTGAAGGAGGGTTTTCTGACGTACGTTCAGCTCCTGTTCACCGCATCTCCACCTGGCCGTCTGACAGGCATCTCGCACTAAACACGCCTGCGCCTGGGTCCTGCTTCCGTGCCCTGCTCCTGCCGCGCTCCCCCTCGGCCAGCCCCTCCTCCTAGTCCACTGCCCCGGTCAGGAACCTTGGGGCGTCGCCCCTCACACGTTGCGTTGAGTCCACCCTCAAATCATCACCGACCCCGCTGGCTTGACCTTCCGAAGGTGGCTAGACGGCCCTCGAGGCCGCCGGGCTATCCCCGTGCCCCCTGCCCGTCCCCCCCGGCAGGAACCACACTCCTCTGCCGGCAACCCTTGCCTGCCCTCACAGCGCCCTCACGAGCCCCTCGATCTGACCTGCTGCCTGTCCTCCCCTGCTCTGCCTGTGCTCCTGCTCACCTGCCCGGTCACCTCAGCGTCCTTCCCACCCGCCGTTCACGCTCCTGCCTGAGGGCTTCTGCATTTGCTGTCCTCTCCTGGAACATTCTCACCCCTGACCGCCGCACGGCCTGCTCCCTGACTTAAGATTCTGTTCCCACGTCACCTTCTGGACGAGGCTAATTCTCGCCCATATCCTGGCCCTCCCAGCCCTTCCCCCGCTGCCTCGTTCTGCTCAGCCCTTGGCAGTATGTGCCATGCAATATATTTACCTGTTAATTCCTTTATTCTCTCTCTCTCACTAATACGACCTAAATCCCACGGCAGTGAGAACTCTGTCTTGCTCACGGCTGTGTCTCCCGCACCTGGTACCCTGTAGGTGCTTCTCGAACACTTGTGTTCTGAGTGAAGGAATAAAGGGGCGAATAGATGCGTGTGGCATGGGGTCAGTGGCCTTGTCCGTGACCTCTCACTGCTTATTCATTTGGCATCAGGTACGTGGGGTTTATTTGGTTTTGGTGGGTTTTGTTGTTTGTGGTGGAAAGGAATACTGTGGACTTAGAGATGGCAGAGACGACAATCAACAATTGCCCCGGCCATTACATAATCTGTACCCTGGTGGCAAGCTGACCTTTTACCTAGTAGGCATTGTACTTGCTTTGCAGAATGAATATACAGATGTCAGAGTTGAGCAGCGAGAGAATACAACAGTGAAGAAAGTGATTTTTTTTAGTATTCATTCTCTAATGATGTTTAGCTGCAGTTGAGGTTTACTGTGTGATACAACTTCAATCCCGTTATTCTCATTCTTTGTAGAAAAAATGAAGGCAGATAAATGTTTCACCTTTGAGTCCTTTTTTTTTTTTTTTTAATTTCAAGAAGTCTAGAGCCTTTTAGTTTTTTACACCAGATGGGTATTTTTTTTATATTGTCTGAAAGTATTCCTTAGTTGAAGTATTCACTTTAAACAGTTAGATTCGTGTTTTTCCACACGCCCAGCAGAGTGCCAGTGGCAGAAACCGTTGTCCTTCCCCTTAATCAGCACGTCCTGTGGAAGGGACGGTGCCGCCCGACGGTGCCGCCCGAGGCCCTGGCCTCGCGCGGGGGGAGGTGCTGAAACTGTCTGCTTCCTCTCCCTCCTCTGCCTCCAGTCTCCCGCGAGGGAAACCTGAGGGCTTTCTGGTTCCCAAAACCTTTTCTCAGACTCCTAGAGCCTGCGGAACGATAGCTGTTGGAGGCCTCACTAGGTACAAGGTGCACAGGAGTCAAACGCCAGTAAAGGCACAAGTGAAACAATTGTGTAGTCACTCTGATTGTCCCTGGAATTGGTATTTATGAACAAAACTGTACGTAGAGAAAAGCGCTGCAATTCAGCTCTTGGTTACCGTGGGGTAGTTTTCACGCAGACGTGCTTTCTGAGCGCCAGGTTTTGCTGTAACAGACGGAGGTCTGTCCTCCCTTCCCCATCGCTCCGCAGTCTCCTGGTCACACACACACCTGTGAAGGACTTGCCCGCCCGTTTCCCCTCTGGTTTACTTCTCTGGGCCCTCATTGACCTTTCTGTCCCTCCTTGACCTTTTCCTGCAGTGCTTTGTTACTTCTCTTCTTAACACGGGCCCTCACAGCGCCTCCCTGATCCCGTTATCTGCAGCTGTTCTCCGCTCAGGCTCGCTGCCCCGGCCCCACCCTCTGCCAGGGCAGGAGCTGCTGCTCGTTTCAAGCCGGAGGGGCTGTTCAGGGCTAATGATCACCAGTAAAGGACACAAAAAGATGGCGAGGTGTTTTTGCCGCTCAGTCAGTACTTTGAGCCCGTGCGCCTGCCAGGTACCCAAGGTACAGAGGTGAACAGGGCACGCTCCTGCCATTAAGTAACTCATGATTTTTGTGGTGACTGCAAAAACACATGATTACAAAACAGTACGGTGAGTGCTTTCAAGCACAGGTGAGCGTGGACAGGAAGGAGGGAGTGTAATCAATATACAGAAGGAAAAATAGATCGTGACACTTAGAAGACTCCGTTTATTTGCCATTGGAAAAATAATGATTTAGCGTAGATCTCATGCCAGGCCCTGTGTTAGGTGCTGGGAAGTCAGTGGTGGAAAAGAGTGTTAATTCCTTACTTCCTGGGCTTCTGAAACAGCCGCTTCAATCTGATAAACGAAACAGCCACCGCTGTGGCAATCCTCGGGGAGGGAGCCGGCTGACGCAGGTGAAGCGCGGGGCGTGCGCACGCAGCACCCGCAGCTCCAGGGGCATCCTGCGCGGGGTGGGGCAGCAGGCCACCGACCTTGTCGGCCTGCGAAACGCCGAGTTCATTCTTGCATTGCTGATTGCTCATCACGGCGTTCTTTTCCATACGGACACCCATCAACCTGCTTTTGCCCCACCTGACAGTGTAGTATGTCACTAAGTTGATAAATTTAATAATTATTTTACCAGTTGTTATCATGTCTTAAGATGACGTGGGAATTAGAATTTAGCACCGAAGGGTATTTTATCCTTCATTCGTGAACAGTGAAGAGAATTAGGCAGAGTGAGAAAATGATTCTTTCCCCCCCAGGAAATGGGAGTTGCAGGGCATTTTTCTGGCCCTCAAAGGCATGTGAAGTCCCTTGCAGAGCTGCCCCAGCGGCTGTGTGTTGGGAGCTTCCTGGCGGACAGGCCGGCCGAAGCGTCGCCCCCGAGCATGAGCGGTGTGTGCGAGAAGGGCCCCGTGGGGGGAGGAGGTCCTTGCTCCCAAGCTCCGGGGTCAGCATGCACCCCCACAGGCTGTCGTGAGGCCTCGCCCCGGGGGAGCCAGCCGCCAGCCCTCGGGGGCCCCGGTCTGCGCACCTCATTGCCAGGGGGGAGTGTTTAAAACCCCCCATGACGGTGTGGCGGAAGCTGTGGCAAGTCACCTCCTCCTTCCTTGGTGTGTCTTGGGAGCCAGCGGCCCTTTGACCCTGTCAGCAGCACCCCCAGTGGAACAGCCCTGGGCTTAGGCAGGGCATGCGTTTTTGCCTGCCTTTGCTGTACGGGACTAATACGTTAACGATACCAGCCTGCCTCGTTGGTCCAACACCTGGGTTGTCGTGTGGCCGGTGCTAACCCTCCTTGCCCCTGGGGCCTGGCTGGCTATGGCATTAGCTGGGTGAGTTGGCGTGGACCTAGAACCAGATGTCAAGTACCAAGTTTCAAGGACTTTGTGGCGAGGACCAAAGAAATGTCTCAGTGGACAATCTGGATGGGATAAATGTCCTGCAAGGGCCTAAAGGTGCTGGCATTTTGCTGCAGGCGGCAGCGGGCTCTGACCGGCCTGGCGCTCCGGAAAGCGGGGCGGACTGGCAGGCGGGGCCTGCGCCTCCTCCCCACCCGACGGCCCCTGCCCGCGGCGCATGCTCCCCCTGCACGCTCTCCCTGCTTGCTCCCTTGAAATCCCAAGGACAGAATAAAGAACTTGGGCCCCTTGTGCTTCAGTGCTATGTCTGTAAGCTAATGTAACAGCTAAAGGATCAGAATGTATCCTGGTCATGTTCTTACCTGGGTTTAAAATTTTTTCCTTCTCTAACTGAAGTTATCCATTCAGTTAGAGATTATAAAACATGGGAAGACAATGCTAATTACTTGCAACATGATTTTAGAGTTCTTCTCTTGAGGCTGTGGCCTGGCCTGTGTGCTTTGGGGGCTGTCTCGGGGTGGGGGGCGTCTTTGACAGGCTGTTGCCCCCGGGGGCCGGGCTCCTAGAAGAGGCGCTGGATGCAGGTCCCTTTTCTTCCCCCCCCCCCCATCCTCCTCTTTGCTCTGCGTTTCTTACCCAGGCTCCTTCAGTGTTGTGCCCATTCCCCTTTTCCCAGGCCGCCCACTTTCCACCTTAACGTGCAGCCCCGAGGCAGGGGGCTGTGAGGTGTTTTGAGAAAGTGCTGAGTCCGAACCGGGGGCAGCATCTGAGGCATTCGTGGCCCCGTCCCCGCTGGCCTCCCCGTCCCCTGCGCAGTGGGGCTGGGCCGCAGCCATGCCCCCCGGGATAGCGGGCCCTGCGTGCACTCCCCCTCCCGGCCTGACGGCGAGGCCGGCCCCCCGCCCCGCACCTCCCCGCCCAGCACTGCAGTCCCCTCTGAACCCACCCCCGGGGCGCCTTCACGTTAGCTCGTTCCAGGGCTCTGTCACTGTGTGAGCAGACTGAACTGTTTTTCCTCCATCGTAACAGTTGTTTTAACTCCACTCTTTCAAAATATTTTTTATTTTGCCACAGCCCGATGATGATAATCACCCAGAAGATCACTAGTTTGGCTTGCGAAATTCATGACGGTAAGAATTTAGAAATGAACTTTGCATCACTGAAAGAACTCCCATTCAGTTCACCTTTTGCTTAAGATACCACCATAACTTTCTGCTCCTTGTCCGAGGAAGGAAAGGGATGGAGGTAAGGCGGGGAAAACAAGTATTTAACTCTGCTGAGGGCTCTTAAGGTGTTTGTTTTTCTTCAATGTTTTATCTTAATTCTGCATTCAATTTAGTGACAAAAACAAAGTGAAATAGTGTGATTCAGTCATATTACCCACATTATAGTGGCAATTTAGAATATAAAGGAAATAAATATTTGGTCTAAATAAAGGTTTATTAATTCCTGCTTCACCTCTCTGTGTTACATTTTTATTAAAATGAGGATGTTTCCCCCCTACCCTCTCTCCGTTACATACACACATACACACGTGTGTTTTTGGTGTGAGAATTGACAGATCCCTATTTCACGTCTCCAGCGGAGGGCGGGCTGCAGCCCCGGGTGTGTCCCCTGTCCCGTGCCCTCCGCCGGGGAGGAGCTGCAGCCCTCTCTTAAATGTGGTGTTGGCGCTGTAATGTGGTGCCCCTCTGGCCTTTAACCTGGGCTCAGGGTCCAGGGAGCTGACGTGTCGTCACGATACTACCCCCTTTGGGGGAAGGTGCGCCGGAGGAGACGGTGGAGGGCACAGCTCTCGCTGGGGCGAGTCCCGCCCGCTGAGGAAGTTGTTCCTTCCATAGAGACCTGGGCCGTTGCAATCATCCAGCACAGAAACACGTTAATGCCTCTTTAAACAGTCATAGCATTTCCAGTTAACTCCGTTGGCTTTGGGGAGTTTCTTGACGCGATGCTGATGTCCCGTAAGGAAGAGTCCCATCAGCTCGCTGACGGGTGTCGCTCGGCATGCGTGGGCTGAGACACGCCGGGGGCTGCGGCAGCCCTCAGCGTGGCTGCGCTCGTGCTGCGCGGAGCGAGAGGAGCCGGTCGCTCTCAACGAGCACACCGAAATCGGGGCCGCGGCGCGCTTCACACGGGAGCGGCGGCGACAGTGTGCATGGGAAATCGCGGTGCTTTTCTGTGGGTAAACCGTGACTGGTAACGGCGCCTGTCTCTGTTTCCCAGGGATGTTTCGAAAGGACGAAGAACTGACTCCGTCGCAGAGATACTTAGCTGTCAGGTGCGTGTTTTCACTGCGTCCACATGGTTCGCGCTGTCGCTGCCCGGGACGTGCAGCGCTCACAGGGCCGAGGCTGATCGTCGTTCTGGAGGAACTTCCTTCGTGAAACTGAACCTCCTTCCTCGGCACCCCGTGCCCCCCCGCCCCGGCCCCACCTCACCAGCCTGGGCCAGGCACCCTGCTGAGGCTCCCGGGGCACCCTGAATGTACCGGCCTGCAGCGTGCACCTCCTGTGCACCTGAGGCTGCCTGCTAAATTCTCAGTCTCCTCGCTCAGATGCCCTGAAGCTGGGAAGCTCCTGTGGGCCTCGCGTCTGCACTGGAGCGATTTGTGAGTAACAGCTGTGGCCCCGTCCATAGGCCAGGAGCCCGGTGCTGGGTAAGAGGCCGTAGGTCACCATAGCACGCAGGTGCTGTGTTCTCAAATGAGGGAGAACCGGTCAGATATTTTCATTTTCACTGGAGGAATTTTCTGCGATAGGCTTCTACTCCATTTGTGATAGGCACTGTGATGAGGGAGGAATAGCTTACTTTTTGGAATGTCTTTCTTAATAAGTCTAATTAGAGATCAGACACGTGTTTTTCGTAAAGAAAAACTTCTGAAGCACCTTGTTTCCTGGGAATCTAGAACTGAGAGATGCATGGCTGCCAGAAGAACGAGCTGACGTTTGTGACCGTAGACAGACCCGTCCCTAAGTGTCCTCCTTTGATCCCAGGTACATGTCTTGGGAATCCTCCTATATTTCCCCACCTTTAAAATTTCCTATTTTCTGCAGTCAGCTTTTAGATGTCAGCAAACATACACGAGAGTAAGCGTAGTCGATGAGAGGCTAGTCTGAGCTGGGCTCAGCGACCCTCGCAAGTCATTGGTCCCCCCGGTCACCGGGCGTCAGGCACTCGGGCCTGTTTCACCTTTGTCTCTCCTGGAGCCGCCTGGCCAGAGCCCAGGCCTAAGTAGAGCCTGCCGCCTCCTCTGGGGCAGCGGGAGGAAGCAGACAGGAAAACGCCCAGTCTTGCTGGCTGGACTCGTTTTGAATCTGTCACCCCACATTTAAAATGGTGGTACCATGTGTCACTAGGGACTTAGGGCGAAAAATTAGGTCAACTCCCTTTTTCTTCGTGCAAACCCATTTCAGCAAGTCTGGCTGACTCTTTCTGTGAGATCGACCTCTAATCCGACCTTGGCATTTGGCCCTGTCTGCACCCGGCTGAGCTCTTGTTCCCACGGGGGCCCCCCCGCCCAGGGTCCTGTTCTCTGTCGTCTGCTGTGACAGCCCCCGACCAGCTGCGCCTCCTCTCCTAGCAGAGGGCCTTTTAGGGTGCCCGCATCAGCTCGTCTGTCCCCCGACACAAACCCTCCAGCGGCTCCTTTGAGAGCTGCCGATGAGGCCTGTGAAGAGCCCGCAGCTGCCCCTCCGCCTTGCACGGTCCGTGGCGACTGCGTGGAGCCCGGGCCTCACCGGCGCTGCCCTTCCTTCCCGCCGTCGTGCTGCGGCCCCCGGCCCGCTCTGTTTCTCTTCGTAACATGTGTCCCTGTCTGATGGGATACTTTATTCTAACTGCTCCTGTCCCTACCCAGATGCAAGCTCTGCGGGGACAGAACTTCTGTTTATCATTTCATTCTCATCACCTATGTAGTGTCGCGACAATGTCTAGAGAAATTTTTCTTGTCACAAATGGCGGAGGTGGTGCTGCTGGCACTTAATGAGTAGAAGCGAGGGATGCGGCTGAGCATCCTCCGTGCCCAGGACGGTCCCCGCAGCCAGGAGTTACTGTCAGAAACTGTCAGCGATGCTGAGACAGAGAAACCCAAACCTGGGCCCATGTGTGGTCCATGTCAGATAAATAGTTGATATCAAATAAATAAAAGAAAGACTGAGTCTTTGATTTAGTGCCATAAATGAAGTATATATAATTATACTCGGTTCACATTTTAATGGCCAACGTTGTAGTTATCCACGGAGGCCTTCCGACGACCTGTTTCTGATACAGCCGCTGAGCCAGAAATGATTCCAGCCAATTTCATGGTCCACAATTATCTCTCGTCCTTGCACATGGCGACTCTCAGTTCGACTTGGTGAGACTGAGCCACGCTTGGATAGGCTGGCATTGTTTGTGGTCTTGAAATAACTGGCACTGGAAGCAGAGGTCTGTTCTCAGGCACAAGGAGGCCCTTTGTCCAGCCTGCGGTCCCCTCCCCTGCGCGGCGGCGTCGAACGGGCTCCAGGAGAGGCGCTGCAGGCATGGCCCCCGCAGCCGTGAGCCCGCCGGGGAACCACTTAAGGCTCAGAACTCTTGGAAGCGCAGAAAAATAATTCTGGAGAAACCTAAAAAGGCGTTCTGGTTACGTGGTGACTTAGGTGGTGTCCGGTGGACAGGAGGTGCTGGCTTCTCTCTAGTTATTTTTTATAAAAATGAATGTCTCAGGGGTCCTGTCCCCCTCTCTCGGCCACGCAGGATGCTGTGCTGCTTCGGAAGCCGGCTCCTCGCATCAGGGGGCGTTGAGGGCTGGCTGCCCGTGCCGGAGGCTGCTCGCTGTGCCCAGGTGTTGTGCTTCCATTTAGGACAGCTTATATCAGCGCCCACGGCAGACCTGGAGAATGGGGCTGGTTTTACAAATTAAGGACGTCCACTCCTCATTCATTTCCATGATAATGTATGTAGTGTGCGTTGCCTCCTGTGTCACTAACCAGTTTTGATCTGGTTACCTGCACCGAGAACTGAAACACTTGGTGACCTCAGATGCCCTGTGCCGTCCGGACTGACCTCAAGGCGCGGTGGGATGAACTGTGTCGGGAAGCAGCCTCGGCCTCCTCTCTCTCTCACGCCACGCCCAGCCACCCGCAGGCCCCTTGGCTGTGCCGCCAGGATGTGTGCGGGTCTTCCTCATGCGCCTCTGAGCCATGGGCCCCTCCTGCCTGGTCTTCCTGTCCCCCCGACCTCGGTCCACACACCCTGCTGTCATTTTTCATCGCATTTGGAATAGAATCCCGAGTTTGCACCACGGCCTGTGACACAGGCTTGCCGGGTCTCATCTCGGCCCCGCCGGGCCCCCCCGCCTCAGTCCGCTGGCTTCCCTGCCGCCCAGGTGCCCCGTCCCCGTGGTTTGCACTTGCTAGTCCCCCCCCCTGGGTGCCCACGACTCCCTCTCTCACTTCCCTCCCTGCTCCAGGTCTCCTTATCTGACGGGCCTTCGCTAACTTATTAACGTAATAAAATAGCCCCTTCTCTTCATAGTGCTTAGCATCTCTGCGAGAATTTTCTCTTTTATTGTGTTCCCTGCAAGTGCTGTGTGAGCTCTGTGAGAGCAGAACCTGTCTGTTGTTTACTCTTCCGATGCTGGCGCATGTGGGCTCATAGTTGGTGCACACGCAGACGCAGTAAACGAGCGAGGCTTTGACCAGTAGGAGACGATTCTTCCTTGGTCCCTTTAGGGGTGTTTCCTCATGAGGAAGTACGTAGAAACACTTCCTCACACTTCATCGTTGCTCATAGAGACCCGTGTGGAAACCCTTTTGTCCAGAGCCACTGCTGCGCGTGACTGCATCCGGATCTTTCAAGGGTCCTATTATATGGATGCAAATGGAAATGAAAGCTTGTTTTGTTTGGGAAATAGCAGGAGCGGGGAGGTACAGGATGGTCTTGCCATTAAATCCCGAAAGGTTCTGCCGCCTCTCACAAGCTGCCGCCTTGTCCTTGCAGGCGCATGCCGAGCCTGCTGGAGTATTTAAGTTACAACTGCAACTTCATGGGCATCCTGGCCGGCCCCCTCTGCTCTTACAAGGACTACATCACGTTCATTGAAGGCAGATCGTACCACGTGGTACAGCTAGGCGAGAACGGCAAAGAAGCACCACACCGAGCCAGGGCAGAGCCGTCTCCCCGCGTAAGTGTGAGGCTTGCCCGGAGCCTTGATCGCGCGTAAATCAGATGCTCACGGTTTCAAGTTTTGTATTCACCCCCCTATTTCTTTAAAAAATTTTGCAAGAGAAATGACTCTTGTAACAGGTTCCTAGTTGTGATGCTCAGGAGCACAGTCACGATAGAAGAACAGAAATGGGAGACCCAGGAAACGGTGCCGAGATCCTTCGTGAGAAGGATCTCTCCACCGGCTGTGGGGGGCTCTGCAAGACAGCTCTTCTCGGGGGACTGAGCAGCCTGATGTTCCAGGCTTCTCCTACCTGGGCTTTATGTTCGGCGCATTCAACGCGTTCTCTACTCCTGCTTTTTTCTCCTCTCCGCCTTGCTCGCTGAAATCTTACTCCTCTCTAAAGGCCTACTTCACAGAGCACCTTTTCCAGGAAACCTTTTCCGGCTCCAGCAGCGGAAAGATAGCAGCAAACACGGGGCCAGCACGTCCCATGGGCCAGGCTGTGTCGTAAGACTAGTACACACAGGTTCTCCAGCCTGCACAGCAGTCTCCTGCGTCGGTGCTTTTGTTCTCACCACTTAACAGACGAGGAGACAGATTCGGAGGCAGAGGTTGGCAGCGGGAGGACCCGAGGTCTGGCCTCCGCAGGCCGTGCCGCACCCCCAGCGGCCTCGGCTCCCTTTGGACAGCAGGGCCCTCGGAACCGCCCGGCCGCCGCCTTATCAGGAAAGGCAGGGGCTTTGTGTAGGCGACCTTTCTGTGGGATTGGTCTGATAGAATCTAAAAGTCCCACGAGAAGGGTGACCAAAAAGTCTGTGAGACGGACAAGTGCTTTTTCAGAAGGTGGGCTTGGGAGCAAAGGCTCAGCCGCTTTTCCAAGTGACTGCAGACAGAAGGTGAATGAAGAATTGCGCATCCGTTGGTAAAAGCTCTCCCCTCTTTTCTGCCAGTGTGGCTCACTGTGTTTTGGACCCAAAAGGTGTTTTCATCTCATACTTCTGTTACTGCCTAAGTGTTCACCGAAAAATTCTGCATGGCACTGGGCTGCATTTCATACTTGACACTGGGCTCATTTAGGTCTGTTCTGTTGACTGCGCTGTGTCTCCAGGCTGGGCGCTTAACCCGGGAGAGGCCTCGCGGCCGTAAACGAAAGTAAAGAAAGACACGGGCAGGAGGGCCAGCTCAGTGTGTGAGTCCTGTCTCCCCCTTCCAGGCGGCAGTTACTCAGAAGCTCTTGGTCTGCGGACTCTCCTTGTTGGTCCACTTGACCGTCTCGAACGCTTTCCCCGTGGAGCACAACATCGATGAGCACTTCCAAGCCACAGCCTCGTGGCCGACAAAGGTCATCTATCTCTATGTCTCTCTTCTGGCTGCCAGACCCAAATACTATTTTGCATGGACATTAGGTAAGTAACCCATGACTAGACTTACCTTAAAAAAAAATGTGTGTGTGTGTGTGTGTGTGTGTGTGTGTGTGACTGATCATGCTATTACAGTTGTCCCAGTTCCTCCCCCGGTGCCCCCCTCACCTGGTACCTCCGTTCCATCCAGCAGTCCCCCCGATCTTAGTTCATGTCCATGGGCCGTGCCTGTAAGTTCTTCGGCTTCTCCATATTCTAGACTATTCTTAACTTCCCCCTGTCTATTTTGTACCTACCAATGATGCTGCTTAATCCCTGCACCTTTCCCCCCACTCTCCCCCTTCCCGCTCCCAACTGATAACCCTCCAAATGATCTCCACAGCTACGATTCTGTCCCTTGTTCTGGTGATTTGCGTAGTTTGTATTTTAAATTCATTTGTTCATACTTGTGACTTTGTTGCCAATTTAATGTTCACAGCTTTGATCTTCTTGTTCTTAAATAAATCCCTTTAACATTTTATGTAATAATGGCTTGGTGATGATGAACTCCTTTATCTGCCCTTCCATTCTAAATGATAAAGTAATCAAGGTTGTAGGTCCCTGCTTTGCATCACTTTGAATACTTCTTGCCAGCCCCTACTGGCCTGCAAAGTTTCTTCTGAGAAATCAGCTGACAGCTTTATGAGAACTCCTTTGTAGGTAACTCTCTGCTTTTCTCTTATTGCTTTTAAGATTCTCTCTTTATCTTTAACCTTTGGCATTTTAATTATGATGTGTCTTGGTGTGGTCCTTTTTTGGGTCCAACTCAATGCTTCCTGACTTGTATGTCTATTTCCTTCACCAAATTAGGGAAATTTTTGTCATTATTTTTTCAAATAAGTTTTCGATTTCTTGCTCTTCCTCTTCTTCTGGCCCCCCTGTGATTCGGATGCTGGCACGCTTGGACATGTCCCAGAGGTTCCTTATACTGTTCTCATTTATTTTGAGTTCTTTTTTCTTCTTGCTGTTCTGGTTGAATGCTTATTTCTTCCTTATGTTCCAAATTGTTGATTTGAATCCTGGCTTCCTCTTCTCCACTGTTAGTTCCCTGTAGATTTTTCTTTATTTCATTTAATATAACCTTCATTTCTTCCTGGGTCTTTTTTATGTTGTTACTGTACTCAATGATTTCTCTGAGCATCCTGATAACCAGTGTTTTGAACTCTGCATCTGATAGGTTGGTTGTCTCCATTTCATCTTGTTCTTTTTCTGGGGTTTTGTTCTGTTCTTGCATTTGGGCCATATTTCTTTTTCTTCTCAACTTGGCAGCCTCCCTGTGTTTGTTTCTGTGTATTAGGAAGCGCTGCTGTGACTCCCTGTCCTAGTAATGTGGTCCGTTTGGGTGAATGTGGCTTCTTCAATCCTCAGTTGTCAGACTTCCACAGAGCTCGATTTTCTGACAGTTCTGGGTGTTATTTGTTTTGAGGTCCAGTTGTAACTCTTTCTGTGGTTGAGCAAGGAGGCAAAGCATGTTTACCTACGCCACCATCTTGACCGGAAGTCTTAAAGTGTCTCTTCTGGTGAACAATGTAGGCGTCCCAGTTACCCGCCCTGCAGGACCCATGACCCTGACGTCCAGCCTTGCACCGTGTGCAGGAGACAGCGCCAGCTCCTGTGGCCTGGGTGACTTCTAGGCCGCCCACTTCCAAGCTGTTTTGCTGTGACTAGACTTTTCTGTTCCTGTGTTGAAGTGAGCCCTACCTGGTTCGCAGCTGTGAGAGTGCCCTCTTGAGGATATCTGATTAGAGACCAGTTAGAAAAACCAGGGTCACTGATACAGAAGAAACAGACCTCATCGCTCATATCCAAAATATGAGGATTTATCCTAAAAACTGGATCATCATTAGGTTGAAATGGAAATAAATCTACTTTTGCTGTTTAAGAATAAAAGGTCATATACGAGTATGCGATAATATACACGTTCTTGGAGAACATGATAGATTGTAACATAGGTCATTAATACTCTTTTGTTTTACTCTGTTTACTACAGCTGATGCTATTAACAATGCCGCAGGCTTCGGTTTCAGAGGATATGATAAAAATGGAGAAGCTCGCTGGGACCTCATTTCCAATTTGAGGATCCGGCAGATAGAGGTCAGTGAATCATTAAGGGAGTCACCGTACGGCAGAAGCGCCAACATTTGCCGTCATGGGTTGTGATGCGATGTCCAAGAGCAGCGCTGAAGGGCTTTTAATACTCATGCTTCTGTCACTGAGCCAGTGCTGGCTGGTTGTTAACCGTGTGCCAGGCCCTGGGGACCCAGGGACGAGGAGAGGGACTCCCTGGACCCTTGTGGGCTTTTAATCTAGTGGCGGTTGCAGGAGACAGATAACGATCAGACAGGTGTTCTGCGTGTGCGCGTCATTGTAAGGCAGGAGTCCGCCTCAGACAGCGGCGGGCCCTGGAGGAAGCGAGGTCTTCGGCGGGTCGCTAGGAGGGAGGCCACTGGGCCCCCAGGCGGAGGGGAGCAGTCAGCCTAAGGGCGTGTCCTCAGCCGGCTCCGGTGCAGCCGTGGAGGCCTGGACGGAGGCCGGGACGGAAACGGGTCACGCGCCGCCTCAGAGGGCGTGTGCAGGTGCTGGAGCCTCGTGATGGGTCCCGTCCAAACGCCCATGTGACGGCGACTCCTGGCCGTTTGCCCTCCAGGGCTGCTGCTGTTGTCCTCGCCACTTCACAGACGGGGCGATCGCGGCGCGTATTTAAACCATCAGGGACTGCTGGACGCAAAATGAGTATTGGATACTGCTGAGAAATTATCGCTGATTTTGTTGGATGTGATCATAGTTTTTAAAAAGTCCTTATGACTGTGAAGGGCACACATTCAGAAGAGTCACAGGTGAAACAAGGTGTCTGGCGTCTTGCTCTGGAACACTCTTTACAAGGAGCATAATGGGAGTTGGGAAGGGCAGGGAGGAGCCGGTGACTGTGGGAACTGGGCAGCGGGCATGTGGCAGCATCTCTCGCCTTTTCTGCGTTTTGGGGCCCTTGAAAATTTTTTTTTCGAAATCCTCCCGTGAAGCTCTAATATCACAGGTACACTGTGCATCCACTTATGCCCTATGTGTACACGTGTGCTTTATACATAAAAAGAGTGAACTGTGTTTGCTTCCTAAGGGGTGAAGTCTCCCCCCTTGGGAAGGCGTGTGCATGAAAAGGCGAGGAGGAGAAAGGGGAGTGCGCTTCCGCGGAGGGAGCAGGCAGCGGTGTTGATGCCGCCCTGGCGCCCGGTGACGGAAGGACCCGCCGCCGCTGGCTTCAGCAGCGTGGGAGTTTGTGGGGGGCTTTGGTAACGGTTTCAGGGGCAGGACAGGCATAAAAGCCAGATTGTACAGCTCTTACCCATCAAGGGGAAGGAGGGCAGAGATGGACAACAGCTGAGGGACAGGTGATGGAGGGAGTTTTGTTTTAAAATGGAGGGGCTGAAACACGTTCACTGATCAGGAGTGTGTGTGTGTGAAGAGGGAGAGAGACGCACTGCTCTGCAAGGCCCCTGGTGAGGGGGGCAGAGCTGAGGGCAGGACAGCGTGACCCAGCGGGAGAGGGGCCGCTTCTGCCGTGGCTGAATCAGGACAGAAGGACAGGCTGAGCGTGGGCGCCACTGGGTGTGCAGGTCCGACCTGGGAAGGTGGCGTCGGGTGGTTTCTATCGTGTCTCTAAGGAAGGAGCCAAGTCCCTCCCGGTGGGGGAGGGGAGGCGATGGCAGCAGATACGAGCGAAGGGCCCTGCTGCAGCATCAGGTCTGACCTTGTGAAGCTGCCGGCATTTGCCTGGTTTGGACTTACCAAGTGCATACTCTTTCAAATGGTTCGATCCAATAACCGTTTTCAAAAAGAGGAGAATGAACTGTCCCTCTAGGGGGACAGGGATCACCAGTAGGTTGCGGGGCCCATTGGAGTCAAGAGCCAGGAACGGATGACAGCCACCTCGAAGGTTGTGTGACATGCTGCATCCAGCATTCAGGTGTTACGAATAGGGGACTTGGGTGGTGTGGTTGGTCTGGGGTTAGGACTTCAATAGGCGGGTGAGTGAATAGGAAAAAGGAACGGCACCCAGGACTTTGACAAGGGTGGTAGCTGGTGGGCCACACCCCCGACAGCTGGGGACCTGAGTGGGCGTGGCTCCCAGGGGCAGCCCATCCTCCATGAAAGAGCCACTTGCTACTCGGTCAGGAGTTTCTGTGGGATAGTCCCAGGGGCACCCCGTAAACGTTGCCATGAAGGAGAAAAGGGTGATGGCCCGTTCACCTCGCGGGTGTGCCTGACAGTAAACAGGCCCCTTTTACGGCGTGATGTCACTGCATTAGTGAAGCGACATTCAGGGAAGAGGTCACCACCCTGCCGTCACTGTCAAGGTCATTCATGTTTAGCACAATAAAACATTGTTACTTATATTTAAAACTTCATTATTTTGTTGGCGAACAAGAAAGTTCCTTTGTTTTTCAGATGTCAACAAGTTTCAAGATGTTTCTTGATAATTGGAATATTCAGACAGCTCTTTGGCTTAAAAGGTATGTTCTCTCACCGTCTTCAGCTGTGCTTTGGCGGCTCCTAACTAGGCCGAGCTTCACTGAGTTCCGACTCGGGAGTAAACGAGCAGTGTGCTGAGTGACCCTGGGGCCGTGGCGCCCCCCAGGAAACGCTGCGAGCCCCCCCAGCAGCCGGTCCTGGTGGCCGCCCCCGCCCCCACCGGCCCAGACGGCCTCTGCCAAGGCCAGGCCACAGCGCCCCCTGCTCTCACTCGCTGGCGATGTGGCCACACAGAACCGGCAACTGGCCGACCTCTGCACAGGGGCCCTGGGTTTCCCAGAACAATCCCGGCTCCAAGGCTGTCCAGCTCAGCAGGCCTTTGCTGTGAGCAGGGGCTGGGAGGGTGCCTAAGACGGGAGCCCCAGCCTCTGCTGGTCCGCGGTCTCGCAGAAGACGCAGCACCGCGATCTCTGTGAGCTCTTCCCTGCGGCGCGAGGGGCCGGGGGCGGGGAGCGCTCGCCCCAACACAGGTGATGCTCAGGGGCTGCCACGGGGGCGCGGTGGGCGGGGGAGCAGCCTGGGCAGAGGAACCGTGACAGGGGACCGAGTTAGGAAGTGCTCAGCCACGCCCAGCAGTTCCCTCTCACTGACCCCGTGAGGCCAGCACCCCAGCTGTGGGTGAGAGGGCCCCGCGCCAGCCTCCTTTTGTCACGTCCTTTATTTTACGACAAGTGGGACACCTTTATCCCGTGACATAGTCAAAATGTGCCATCGTAGTCGTCGTCGTCATCATCATCATCAGCGCTTCATGCTGCCCCTGCAGTAGTGGCTGCAGAGTTTGCCAGCTAATGTGCTGTGTTACTTTTGTTGTCATTGTTAACATTTTAAATGTGATACCTTAGGAAGGTCTTGCTTTCGCCTGAGTTCTCTTGCCTGTTACAAGAAAACTGTAGAGGAAGCGATGCCTCCTTGCCAAAGGGAACAGTGCTATTAAACCAATGGAAAGGTCTTAATGTTACTCATGCAAATAATAAAACAGTGTAAAATAAAAGTAACTTTAATCATCGTTAAAGGGTTTTTTGTAACTAGTAAGACGCTAAAACACTAGAAAAGATCATTTTAGCTATTACATTATACCAGTGAGAAGACGGGAGTTAAGCTTATTTTTCCAAACTCAACACTTCATAGCGACAGGGTCGCTGAGCTGCAGATGACATCCCGGCCTGGCTCAGCCGGCGCTGCGTCCCCGGCTCCCCTAGGCCCTCGCGGGCAGCAGCAGGGCGGCTGTCGGGGCCTTTATACAGCCCGCTCACGCTCTCTCCGTGCTGTCCTCGCCCCCAGGGTGTGCTACGAGCGAGCCGCCATGAGCCCCACCATCCAGACCTTCGTGCTGTCCGCCGTCTGGCACGGCGTGTACCCGGGCTACTACCTGACCTTCCTGACCGGGGTGCTGATGACGCTGGCGGCACGAGCGGTGAGTGCTGGCCGTGGCCCTGGAGCCGGCGCTGGGGCTGAGCTGACGGCGGCCTAGCTGGGCCCTGGCCGCGCTCCGGGGGCAAGGCACCTGCCGGGGCATGTGCTGCGTGTACCGCGTGCGCCCGTGGGCTCTGCGCGCGGTTCCCCGGGGAGCACCCAGTGCGCAGGGGCACCCGCAGAGTGGCCGTTGCCATTAGGGAAGTTTTTAAGGAGAGCTGGAAACGGATAAGCAAGACCATCAGGTGGGTGGGTTTATCTTGGAAACGCTCCCTGAGAGCTGGAACCGCGGGCCCCGGCCCGGACGAGCAGCGGGCTGTGCCGGGGCCCAGGACGTGCATGGTCAGCCGCGGCGGGCGCCCTGAGGGGCAGCGCGCAGGTCTGGAGAGCGCCGGCTCGGTTGGCACCTGGACTCACATTATGGGGGACAGTTGAACAAATAGGTTGGTGCCAGGGGTAGGAAAAGAAGAGGGACACCGCAGTGTAAATCCTTGAACGTCCATCAGAGGAAAACAATGTGACAAAAATGGTGTCAGGGCAGTGTTGCCTGTCACTTCCGGGTAAGGTGGCTTCGTTTAACAAACCAGCAGAGGTTTGCTGTGCTCGCTGGGAAGGTGCTGTGGGGACCATGTGAGAGAAACGCCAAGGAGGATTAACCAAGGCTGCACCTTCTGGGCGTCTGCGGTCTCATCAGGGCCATGAGACGCGCGTGCGTGCGTGCGTGTGTGTGTGTGTGTACGTGCAACACAGGGCGTACATGATAGAGTCTGTGGGCGTAATCGTGTCATCGGTGTTCGGAGGGGGAAGAAGTCCCCTGGCTCAGTGTCCTGGCGGCGACCTCACCAGGAAAGCGATGCTTGGGTTTGGCCTTGGAGAGATGAGAGCATTTCCAACAGTGAGTGCGGTGGAAGCGGGGAAGGGCATGCCCGGCAGGGAAACGACATTAGCAGAATTAGATCGGAAAGGGCATGGTGTGCTTGGGCGTGACAGGCACCTGTGGCCAAAGCTGAAAGGTCACATAGGCAGAAATAAGGAATAGTCTGTTGAAGATTTTATTTATTTATTTATTTATTTATTTTTAGAGGAGAAGGGAGGCAGGGAGCCAGGGAAACACCCATGTGTGGCTGCCTCTCACGCGCCCCCTACTGGGGACCTGGCCCCCAACCCAGGCAGGAGCCCTGACCAGGAATCGAACTGGTGACTCTTTGCTTTGCAGGCCAGGGCTCAGTCCCCTGAGCCACACCAGGCAGGGCAGAAATAGGGAATAATCTGGAAAGGGGAAGGGCTGGGTGGAGGAAGCAAGGCAGGAAGAGGAGAGAGAACTTGACCTCCAGGCTGGGCAAGGGCCTGGTCCTCCTCCTCTTTGCATGACAGGAGCCAGGTACGGCTTTTAACCGTGGGCGTGGCACCCTGAGAGCCCAGGCTCAGGAGCTGGGGCTGCTGCTGGTGACGGAGGGGACAGAGTGGGGCTGCGGCGGCAGCACTGGTGAGGGGAGTCGCTGGGGAGCACTGGGCCCACAGGGCACGCCCGCTGGGACGCACTCGCAGGCCCTCACAGCAGGGCCACATTCCGCCTGCCCGCCTGCTACGTCACAGACGGGGAGGTGGCAAGCAGGACAGCGCAAAGGAAGGAGTGTTCAAGTTCACACGTTTCACAGACGAAATGTTCTAGAAGCTAAAAGCATTGAAACAGCGGTTATTAGAAAACTGCTTTTTTGAGACGCTCTTCCGGCTTGCATTAACTAACAAATAACGTGCGCAGTTGTCATTTATCTTGGGACAGCTCAGTGTATAATTAACATCCGTCTCTCACAAATGCAGAGGACAAAGCAGAGGCTGTCTCATTCCATGGTTACCATGGTGAATGCTGTTACTACGATGAAAAAATGGAAAACAGATTCAAGGAGCTCTAGGCAATGTTATTTTTAACTTCTTCTGACATTTTTAATTTTCATACAACTTCAGATCTATAGAAAAGTTGCAGAGCACTCCTCTCTGCCTTTCCCCGGCCTCACACGTTCTGCCTGTGTGTCTCCATGTTTTCCCACGTACGTGCACCGTTGTTGTGAACCTGCCCCCAGCAGGGCGCTGCCCTGGCAGAGGTCGCGTCCGGGGGCCTCTGTAGAGGCGGGCACTCTCACCAGCGACGTTGACGATGAAGCAGATGTTTTTGTTTGTTCCAGGTGAGAAGTAACTTCCGACATTATTTCATCGAACCCCCTCTCCTGAAATCGCTGTACGACGCTCTCACGTGGGCAGTCACGCAGATAGCAGTAAGTTACACGGTTGTGCCGTTCGTGCTGCTCTCCGTAAAGCCGTCCTTCGCGTTTTACAGGTAAGCGCTCCTCTCCCAGCGCGGTCCCCGGGGCCGACTCCGTCTCTGGAGAGCGCCCCCTGCTGGCGGGCGTAACGGGAAGCGGCACTGAGGCCTCCTCCCGGCTGCCTAGTGTGTGGGCAGTTGCTTTTTAGCCGTAAGACGCGCCCCTGGGCTTCCCTGTGCAGAGCTCTTCCCTCGGTCCTCAGGCGAGAGTCCAGGTTGGGGAGGTACCAGCGGGGTAGCCGGGGCCCCGCATCTCTCAAGGGCTACCTAGAAAGGGGAGCTGTTCTTCACAAGGAATTACTCACTCTTAATTTCTTTCATCCAAAGGACATAAATTAGTTATACGTCACTTGCCTGTTTTTGTTTCACTGTCTCGTGCTTCATCGGTACTTTGTCATCTCTATAATATGGAAATTATTGTCTTGAGTTTCATAGTTTATCTAACTCCTCTGCTTCCCCCGTATCAGTGATCTTTGAGATCAAAAACTTAATTCTTTCATAAATTCTTCATTCCCAAGCATTTGGAATGACAGCACAGAATGTGGGGTCAGACTCTGTTGAACGGGGTATGACGGTAATCACACGGGAAGATGTTAAGGGCCTCCTGCTAAAATCCCATTTTAATGAGATTGTGACATGTGTTTTAATGTGGCTGAGCGAGCTGCTGTTTGAATTTTCACCCAGTATTTTTGTTCACAGTCACTTGAACTTACAGCTGTAGGAGCAGGTTAGGTCACATTTGGCTTACATTTAACTTGGGAAATGACACTTCTAACAATAGTTTTAATAATGTGACATTTCTTTATTTCGTGACAATAACCCTCAAGAAGCAATGTTGCTTATCTGTTCTCCACGTCACTAGAATACATGTAACAATCAGGGGCGGTCAACAGCAGGAGATGCCGGAGCAGCCGTGTCTCTGCGGTCCCCGCGCGCGCTCCTGTGCTCACCGTTCACTTCCGCGGGTCCGAGAGCCGACTCTCAGGCCGCTGCGGCTGCGCAGGCGCCCTTTTGTTGTTGGTCTCCTTAGCCCTGGCCTTCCGACCCTCACAGAGGCATGTAACGTGAGAACAGGCCTCATGCTCATAAGCAGCCCGGCTTCACCCAGAGCCGTGTAAACACCCACTGAAATACGCTGGAGAGAGGCATCTCGGGCAAGGGGGGTAGAAGGAGAGAATAATGCAGCAAATGAATATGTTCTGAGGGGGGTGTGGGACATTTTGCCAAGTGTATAGTTATTAAGGATTGTTAAGCCTTAACAAAGTTTTTCTTTTTTCTTTTAGCTCCTGGTATTACTGCCTTCACGTTGCTGGTATCTTAGTATTACTGCTGTTACCAGTGAAAAAAACTCAAAGAGGAAAGAATACACATGAAAATGTGCAGCTGTCACGATCCAAAAAGCTTGATGAAGCAGAGAATTCTTTGGGACAGAATAGTTTTTCCACATCAAACAGTGTTTGCAATCAGAATCAAGAAGTAGCCTCTAGACATTCATCATTAAACCAATGACAGGGAAGACACTCAGTGGCTATTTGTTGTAAGTTAACAGAAACCAATCTTAGCACCTTCTCAAGGGTTTGGGTTTGCCTGAAAAGAGAGTAAGTTGGGGGGAAATCAGACAGTTGTCAATGGGGAAATTTCCTGTGCACCCAATTGGAAGTGGAGCGGAATGAGCCCTCCCATGCCCTGTCCCCGTGGGCCACGCCTTATACAAAACATTCCCATTATTTCAATGGGCTCGGGACCTCAGCCGACGGCCGCAGGGTCATGTGAGGGCCCTGCTGCTGAATGTACGTTGTGTACCCAGGGCGCCGAAAAGGTGGAAGAGGATTGTGGCATTCTGGGCGACGGAGAGAAATTAACTTTTCCAAATGAATGTCTTGCCTTAAACCCTCTATTTCCTAAACTGTTGTTCCTAAATGGTATTTTCAAGTATAATATTGTGAGAACTCTATTTCAATATTTGATGTTTTATGCTATCAAGGAATTCTGGGGAAATTCGAAACAGGATATTTAAGATTGTGGATAGTTTAAAAATGCAATAAACATCTCAGTATTTGAAGGGTTTCCTTAAAGTATCTCAAATGACTGTAGTGCGTAGTGAACCTGTGAACAGGACAGATGCCAAGTTACAGGTAGCTTACTTTCCCGGACACTTTAATTGCCTTGTGTCAGTCAGAGAGCCCTTCAAGGAAGAATTTCTTAAGCATAAGTAAGATTGGTAATGCGACATTTCAAGCTCATTTCCTTACAAAAGAGAGGAAATGGGGAGGGCGGGCACGCGGGAATGGGGTGGGGCGCGCGGCGGGGCGGGGCTGGCGGCCGCAGGGAGAGGCGCAGGTGCCCGGGCAGGCTCCAGGTGCTCAGCAAGTGCTTTCACCCTTATTTATCTGAGTTTTTGTGATATGTAAGATATAAAAGTTTGATAACTTTTTAATACTTTGGATCTTAAATGAAATTTATCAAGCATAAATTATATAGAACTATAAAAAGAGTATGAAATTAGTAGTGGTAGATTGCTTGAAGGCTTTGAAAGCGAAATCACTGGGTAAGCTGCTCTCTGGCTATTCACTTTCTCATCCTTGACCGTTTAATTCCTGTTTGGGAAAGTTTTAGAGAAATGAAAACTTACTGCCGTTGGGTTTGAACCAATTTTTAGAGAGTAATATAAATTAGTTTCCAAACTCTTAACTTCTCACATTAAAATTTTGCTGTTAACTCTTGTTAATGAGTTTTTGATTCTGTAATCAGAAGAATGTGCTTTTGTCTTGTGGGCCGTTTTCACCGTAATGACCTCCCCTTGACTTTGAGGTGTCTCCCGGAACCCCGCAGGCTCATGCTGCTGCTGTGGCTGACCGGGGACGGTGGGCTGACATGCTGGCCTGGCTTCGGGCTCGGCCGTGGACCCCCATCCCCCCGCCGCCAGGGCTGCGAGCGGGACACGTGGGCAGGGCCTTTCCACCACATCTTTGTTTGACCAGTCTTTGTGGAATTTATTTTCTTTTTGCCTTAAATTTTTTAGTGAAATGCAGGTTGTCTGCCTATGGTAAGTCTCTCTTTTTTTATTTTTGTCAGTCAATTTTCAAATGAAGTTAAGAACAGAACAACCACCTGGCTTACGCGATACAGTATTTCACTTAAGAAGAAAGGAAAAACAAACATACTTGGAACTTTGAGGTCTTAATCAGCAAAAACATCACTGTCTGTATCTTCTTAAAGGACCTTTAGAAATACCCGAGTATTTGTAGGACACATGTTTCTCTTTCTGAAGGTCATTTTGTCCCGCCCTCCCGGGAAAGAGCAGGTAGCGGAGTAAAGCTGTGCTAGTTTTCCACGCTTGAGGTTAAGCGGGCCCTGTGCCGCGAGCAGACAGACAAGAATAATTGTGGAAAATGTCTGCCTCCCGCCCCCGGAATCTCTTCTCAGTTTAATCAATGCTGCAGAGAGTCTGGTCGCTTCTAAGAAAAAGTAAGTAAGTTTAGAGTTTAAAAGACAAGTCTAGGCATGTCAAAAGTGAAAACAAGAAAACTTAATAAAACTTATTTTGTTCAGCCTGTTTGGCCATTTACAAACACTCACTGTTTGTTTCCATCACTGGACTATTTTTATTTCTCAGCCTGTAACCCTGTGACCACTGTTACCTCCTGCTCATTGAGTACAATCACAGCGCTGCCATCGAGAAAGCAGGATACAATGGATGAATTTTCCAATTACTTGGAAGATAAGCAGACTGATTTTCCTTTCCTCGGATCAACTCTCACTCTCTCTTTTTTTTAATGTATGAAATGGTCTTGGGATAGCTGTTCTGTAATTTTGGAGAAATTTTAATCACGCGTATGCAGTCTAGAAGAAGAGCTAAAGAAATAGCTCCACTCCTCAAGCTGACTTTTCTCCTCAAAAAGCAGCTGCCCGTGCTCTGTACGGTGGGCGTGTCGGCGTGCCGCGGCGTGAGGACGGACACTGCTGCCCCCGGGGCCCGACAGCGGGACGCCCCTGTGCCCGGCCGGCCGCCCCGTGAGCGGCGGGGGCGACTCCGGGTCGCGGAGCAGGAGCCAGGGCCTCCGTGAGGGGCCCTCCGCCCCTCCGTTGTCCGGAGACCCTCCCGGCGGAGGTCGGCCAACATCACGTGGCTGCTTCGGGTCAGTCACCGCACGGCGGGGCAAAATGGACAAACATAAAATAACTCCCCCCTCTTTCGTCTTCTCGGGACAGTAAGGGTTTTAATTCTCCGTATCTTGGCTGTCTCATTTTATAGGTGGCTTAGTCTTGGCTTTAAAGTAAGCATTTTTATTGGAACTTAGGGTACCTGGGGAAATGTATGTAGTTTGTAAAATGTCCCGCGTCATAGAGGTTTATTTGGTTCCAGAAAGGCCCAGCCGCCTCCCCGTTATGCGGCCGCTGGGCTGTGCGTGGAGGGGCAGTGTTGTTACCACTCCCCGCCCCCCATCGTGTGCCATTCACACGCAGGCTCTCCAGGTACCAGTTCTGAGAGAAATTCGCAGTAAAGAGGATGGTTCTGCGAAGCGAAGGCCGCGCACGCTGAAGCCCTGACGATCTTGGGTGGGGCCTGGATGCTCCTGCGGCCCCGTCACTGAGGAGCCTGCGACTCCCACGAGGTGCCCGCGCCCTGGACCAAAGCCGCTTAGGAAGCCTGACGGGTCGGCTCCCCCGGTGTGACCAGCTGTGCTTATCATGAGGGGAGCCGCCAGCGAGGCCCCAAGAACCCGGCCAGGGGCGGCTCCACGGGCAGAGCGGCCGCCCCGGGCGCCCGGGTGGATTGCTGGGGTTCAAAGCCCTGCCTGTTCCAAAGGTGTCGGTGGGGGCAGGGGGTCGCCTTTCAGTGTGTGACCTCGGAAGGCATACCGCGCTTACTGAGGTCAGCCCTTGAGACGAGCCTTTCAGAATGAAATAGTCTGCACGAAAGGAAACATTTTCCTTTAGCTTTCTCTGTTTCCTCTGTTTCCGTCTGTGCTCTGTAAAATGGAGAAAGATATATGTAAAAATTTTATACAAATTACCAACTTTACTACTATATAACTTCTGAAGTATTATTTTATTCAAAGATATTTAAAGCATACTTAATTTAGTTACACCTTATTTTAAACTACAGGAAAATTAAAACTTTTGCCATTAATTCTAAAATTTGTACTTTAATTCAAGGACTTGCTTTAACTGAGGACAAAGATCTTTCCTATTTAAAATGTTGAATATTCATGAATAACTCTGGGCATTTATACCTTTTTAGTTCCTTACTACAAGCTGTTCAAAATTATTGGTTAATTGGTTTTGAGTTATACATTATAACTGACGAGAAAACTACTTGAGAGAGTAATTGTGTCAGCCTGGTGCCTGTTACCGCTGTCAGAAATGATTTGTCCAGAGTTTTAGGCATAAACTGGTATTTTGTGGAGTTGTATTTAGCCGCTCGCCGTCCACCTGAGGTTGAATTCGCCAGGTTCAGCGTGGGTGCAGAACGCTAAATGACCCCGTGCAATGCCACCTTCCTGCCCTCCGGCTCCTGCCGCTGCTGCTCCCTCGGCCCGTGGCCGGTCCAGTGCTCTGAGTGTGGAGGTGGGGGCTCTGCTTTCTGTGGCCTTTCCTTGGAAAAGGGGGGCTTGCATCCCTGTGGTCCTGGAAAGACAAAAGGAGAAATGTCGCTGGGATTTGGATTTGAAAGAGTAGCCCTTGGGGGGTGTCTCCAGCGACTTCCTGCAGCACCTGGCGCTCACGTCTATTTGTAGTCGCTGTCTGACTGAAGGCCATTTAAAACGAAAGTTCCACGCGGTATGTGTGGGAACACTCTTGGAATCCGTGGCGAAGCTGCATGTTGAGGCTCTTGTACCATTGAGTCCCGTTCCATTTTGATGGACGGGCTGCTTAATAATGTTTTTATATGTTTTAAAGTAATATTTATTTTAATAGGTTTTTGACATTATGCAAGCCCCGGTAAAGAACTGAGGAGCTCTCTAGGCCCTTCATTGGGAAGACTTTCTAAAACAGAGCTTCAAGGCACAGCTTTATGCTGGCTGATTTGCCTTGCCTTTAAAGCTGATTACAGCTGTCTTCTTTTCCTACACCTTTTATAAAGCAATCAAACAAAACTCACTCCAAGACTCTGTGTTCTATAAATACTAAAGATCCACACAGAACCACTGTCTCAGGCTTCCTCAGTGATGCGCAGCCACCTCTCAGTCATGTTTTATCAGATTTTGCTGCTATGAAAAGAAACGGAAACGTAAGGAAAAACGCAGAAATTACAGAGCAACAGCAGTAGAATGACTAAGCATTTTCTTAATAACCTGTTGGAAATGGAAGAAGTGACTGGCTGTCTTTTACTGGAATCATAAATGACAGTGTCTTGCCCAGCCTCTATTTTGGGGTGACTTTGAGAAATTGATGTGTTGATACTCCCTTTTGTCCTTGCGCATTAAAGGCCAGACAGGTAAAGAATTGAACAGACTGTTCACATGTGCCTCCCTCCCCAGTTTAAGTATTTTGGTTCTCTGTTACACGGATTTGTCGACGGAGTGCTTTGCTCCTGACTTTCTCACTTGGAGAAGGGAATCAAACGTCCAACACAAACATGGTGCAAACCAGTCTTCTCATCTCTCACCGGTGTGCAACCGCCTCTCCAGACCGCGGGGGCTCTGAGACAAAGCTGCAGGGACACAAGCCAACATAGACCAGGGGCAAGTGTGTGGCTTCTTTCCTGCCACCTTTGTCTCCGCCTGCCAGTAGTTACACACGGTCACCCGAACCGGGGAAGGTCCCAGCACCCACGATCAGGTTCCCAGGACTCCTTTGCCCGCCCTCGGGAAGAATGGAATGTGGCGCTCTGTGCTTTTTGCTTTTAGGATTCCAAACTATTTTTTTAAAGGGTTCACTTTCAACAGACCCGTAAGTAGTTCTCCTCGTGTGGTCGACTGAAACCGCCGTGTGCCGGCGCTGCGGTGCGGCGGTCCCATCGCCTCCTGTGTCTGGCCTGCCCTCCAAGCCGCGCTGCGGGCTTGGCGCTGGGCTTCAGCAATGCTTTCCACTTACAGATGAAATTTTTCTAATCTGTGTGTCTTTAAAACTGATTAAACAGTAGTTTAAAAATGTGTGTGTGTGTGTGCGCACTGATTTCAAAGGCTTTAAGTCCCATGTGTAGAACTGAATACCAGGCCTGTCATGAGATGTAATTTTTTTTATTGCTGGATTCTTCAGAATGATGATAAAAGTCAAAGAATTCATTGACTCATTAACTGCTTAAAAATTATTTCAAAGAAACTTATCACATG